TGCAAAACTAAAGATAGAAATATCATATATAACAGAGGCTAAGCTTGTGCTATTATTTCTTGAAGAAAAAAACTTTTTATTAATAAAAGCTTTCACCATCAAATGTCAAAATAAAAATAATAAATATTTCTCCACTATTAAATAAAAATTAAAGAAAAGAGAAATAAATTTAATTTCAAGCACTTTCTTCGCTTTTATTTAAGTAAACTTTTTTTAATTTAAACATAAAGCTTTTGAAAGCTCTTAACCTTGACTTGGCAGCTCTGTTGCTTTCTAAATGTAACTGTATTTTATTTTCAGCTAAGCTAAATAAATATTGAGAAAAAACATAGTAAATAAAAACAGCATTCACTTCATTGTATAGAGAAAAGCTTCCGCGCTTCGAAGTACAGCCGTGCACTGATAACAACCAGCCGAGTAATATACTAAAAACCCAGCAGTAAGTTCTTGGGTGCAAGACTTTCAAAGAGAATTGGTTTGATATGATTAAATTAAATTAAATTATTAATTAACTATTAAATAATTAATAAAATAATAATATGAAAAGTGAAATTAAACAAATAGAAGGTTACAAGTTGCTGGTTTAAAATATTAAAAATATACCACAAGATGTAGACGCATCTCGGTTTGAGAAATGATTTTACATTAAACTAGTTACAAGCTAGTCCGAAAGTTACTAGTTTTGAACCGATCTCTCTGTGTGGCATTGCTAAACTATTTTTCTTTATTGAGTTCCGCTTTTTTATGCCCGGCATTAGTTCACACTAGTTTCAAGTTAGACGCAAAGTAATTAGTTTTGGACCAGATATCGACGCGAGTGAAAATATTTTCGCTTTTAATTTAACAATTTTTAGTTATCTAAATTCTGTTTACTGTTTTCAAACCAAACCCAAAGTAAGTAATTTCGAGTTAGTTTTCCATAACACCATTGAGAGTTTTTACTGCGCCTTAATTTCCTATCACTGTTTACGCGTATATTTACTGTTATTTATAAATAACGTAAATACTTGCTAACAGCTTCGTTTACATGCCCGCATACAAACCCTGTGCTACCCACCCACCTATCCACCGACCCACCTCTCTATCTATCCATCTATCTATCTAGCCATCTATCTGTCTAACGTCCAGCCGTCTACTGCGAACTGGAAGCTGTCAAGTTGCGTCGCATCATCGTCGTCGTGATTGCCGTCGTAGGGCTTATACGGGTGTTGGCGACAACAAACAATCGCCATCCAAGCAGTTTACTGCATAACCGCAACACGAACGCTTGTATAGTGTGGCTTTGAAGAGTGAAAGTATAAAAACCTACATACATACCTACACAAATATTTACGATACCCGCTTCGAAATGAGCATTTGTACCGTTACAGACTCCCGAGACAGACACGCGTCCACAATTAAGTGCAAAGTGTTGTGTGAATTTAATTAAAAACTTTCCAACCAACAGAGCAGAGCGGAAAAGAGAGGTGAAGAATATTACATGCAGCGACCGCCTCGACTCACCACGATGACCATAACTACGCAGTCTGTTGTGTATTTCTGTGAAATTAATAACTTGTTAGCGGAAAATTGTATGCAAAAAAACAAAAATAATAAAAATAAAAGTCACTCAGCTCCGAACAGCAAATGGCCCGTGGAGTAGCCGAGTGAAGCCAATATTGAAATATTAAAATTGCTAATGAAAAATCGTGTTATCGGCACGTCGGACCGCGAACCCCACCACGCCGCGCCAACTGATTCACTATGGTTATCGTCGACTCACCGCGTATCGCACATAAATATTTACGTCGCATCTCTAAAGATTTTTCGACGGTACGTCGTTTTAGTTCAGCACCTCAAAGCCCTGCGACACCACCACCACCCGATGCTACCGCGACCAGTGCATACCACCAACACCTCGCACCGCCCACCGCCTTTGAGTGTGAGGTCAATGAAGTGTCAATCGGTAAAAGCGAATCCTTTCGCGGCATACGTCGACGGCAGTATGCACGCAAACGTTCCTCCGTCTCATCGACGCTTACGCGTGTGCTAATTTTGAATGTGCGTGATCTGCTGAAAGTGGCCGATTTGCGTGAAAAGGAAAATGAGGTATGTGCTTGTGGCAGCTTAACCACCCCCTCTACTGCCACACTCCCGCCCACTCGGTTCGTTGCCAATAAACAGTCCTGTCGTACTTTTTAAATCAGCTCACTAAGAGTGTAATTATTATTCCGTGAGACGCATTTGTTGCTGCAGCAATGACTGCATCTCGCCTTTATTGTTTACTTTTTAAGTCTCTTCCAGCATTACTCGCAATTTCTCAATTACCTCACTGTCAATGTTTGTGTTTTCTTGCATTGACGATATCTCATCGCCGTTACTTTGCTGGCTGCCAGCTGCCGGCTGCTGTCTTGTTTGCTTCGAAGCTTGTCAGGTTGCATTGCAGTTAGTCATTTCACCGTGATGGTTGAAGTAGTGCCATTTCATCGTGATTGAGTTGCGCTTTTTTGCTTTGCTCATCTGTTGATTTTTCCCTTTTTCCTTGGGTGTTTCTTGGAAAGTTTTACTGCTTATCGCTTCGGTTGATTCTTTTCTTTTTACTAACTGGGGCGCTGTGTGCGAGCTACTCTTGGGAAATATGCAAATTACCTTAAGTAAATCTCGGTAGTAAGGAAAAGTTTTTGTGCGTACATTTTCATCGTGGGGGAGATATTTTTATAAGTCATTAGTCGCTAATTTTATTGAGACAAAATGAAGGTAAAAGTTGGTTTGCTGAAGAACACTTGAAATTGTCGTTAAAATTAATTTTTTTAGGATTTTTTTTTCCAAGCCGCTTATTTAAAATGCGAAAAATGGAACTAAACTAGTGGCATCCAGGTTAGAATATCCTGTTGTCTTAAATGTTGAAGAGTTCTAGTGATGGGTCCGAAATAGCCTGCTGGGTATGGTATGAAGGTGATGGCATACTGCAAGAATCTCAACATTTTCGTTTTTTCGTTTGCTAAACTCGGTTAGGCATCTTCCCAGGAAAAGTACTAGACATTGAAGGCGTCTGTAGCGCGATAATGATTAACAGTCAAATAAATATATTTTGTTTCCTCTTACACCTTCGTTAGTTTAACTGGAAATTCTAAGAAACAGTGCACAAAAGGTCTACTATAAACTTTTTGTTGATTGCAAAGGACAGTCAAAATTTATTGAAATAAACGCCCAATTCATTATCCAATTTGTAAGACAAACAAAATATCGCATGATAAAGTAGAACAATAAAACAACATCAACATCAACGACATTTCCTTTCGTTTTTCTCTTTTGCAAAAAATAACCCAATTATGGACTGTAAATAATAAAAGAGCATTGAAATGATGTTTCTTATTTACTCTCTTCTACTTGTTGTTTAGAAAAAAAATTTAACTTTAATTATTCCTTTTAATTTTCCTCATAGAAGTCTTTTTCACTGTCTCTATGTTTGCATGAGCTTGTGAATTTAAATTTAAGTCTTCATGTCAATGCTAGCGAAAGTTGTCTTCTCCTTTTTTTCTTTCTGACATATAATTTTCTTTCGCCAAATTATTCTACATTTCACTGCACAAGCATTTACCGTTAAATGGAGTAGCTGCATACATAAACACTCGTGCACAAAGCATAAAACATATACACGCACATCGATTGCCTAAGTAAATAAAAGAAGACTAAAGAGCATCTACAGACATAAAACAAAAATGTAAATTAAAAAACTAACATAAAATAAATTGAGACAAATTAATATAAAATAAAATGAAACAAATGAATATAGAATAAAATAAAATAAATGAATATAGAATAAAATGAAACAAAACAAAATAAATAAAAAAGTTAAATTAAGTAAAATAAAATAAAATAAAATAAAATAAAATAAAATAAAATAAAATAAAATAAAATAAACAAAACAAAATAAATCTAAATATGTAAAAAAAATTAAAGTAAAATATATTAATAAAAAAATTAATAAAATAAATGAAAGTAGTGAAATGAAATAAACTAAAATAGAATTTAAAAAATTAAATGGAAAAAAGAATAAAAAAATTAATAAAATAAATGAAAGTAGTGAAATGAAATAAACTAAAATAGAATTTAAAAAATTAAATGGAAAAAAGAAAAGTAAGTAGAGGAAAGTTTCTCTTAGAAATACTGTTGTAGATGATTCTATTGATTTGTGAGTAGTAGAAGCTTGTTAGCACTTGATATGCTTGGCGCCTTGTTGTAGGCAACATGTGAATATTTTTAACGTGATTTACTTTGCAGCTGCGTATAAACCGTTAAAGAAAATCGAACGATATTTCAAATGATCGTTTTGTTTTTAATTTAAAAGCATATTTTTAATTTGATAAAGTTGATTTATTATGCATATATTTGAAGATTTAGTCACACAATTGGCATACTTAATCAATCGGTATTAATGTATTTTTACCTGTTTCATTTGCCACTCTCTCTTTTTTATTTCCCCCAAATAATTCATATGTTTTCGAACATATATTTATTTTCTTTACACGATTTAAATCTTCTTATACTGTCTCTTACCACCTCTATGACTATCAAACACTCTCTCTCACTACTTTACTATCTGTTTGTTTGTGTGTTCTTTTTTTTTTTGGTTTCTTTATTATTAATGTTTTTTATACTTTTATTGTGTTTGTCTTTATTATTGTTGTTTTGTCTTATAGTGAATATGTATCTATATATACATATTTTTATATTGTGCTTCTCTTTCAGTATTTTATTGGTAAATGTACAATACTAAACAATAAAATAACATTGATTTAATCGAAAAAAATAAGGAATTTTTTATTAACGTCTTTCAAAATGATCTGAACGTAGTGTAAAGTAATAAAAAAGAATATGATTTCTATTATAGATTAAATATAAGAGACTTGTAAAAATGAAATCCACTAATCTGCTTTTTTTCTATTCAATTTTTTTTTCCACAATCTTCTTGCGTAATCTCCTGCGTACCTGCTTAATATGGCAATAACTACCTACAGCATACGCCTCGCAGTTGGATTGAGACAAACTTCCAGAAGAGAGAATGCATCAAATTCATACCCTGCCCCAAAGATGAGTCCAAGTAAGTTGAAAGTGAAATTTATTTATAAAACCTTTTGGCACAAAAGCGCATAAGCGAAAATGATAAACAGCGGGAACAATTAAAACTAGTGTGGATCATAAGGTTACTACTTTTTTTTTACATAACTGATTTATTTTACAGCCTTTTCTCGTGCCATAAACTGGTCAATTGTCTGATTATTTGTCAAAAATGTACCGGTAAAATACTAGTTCTTTCGTATGTGGTAAAATACCAGTTAACAGGAATAAAAACAATTTTACAGACAGTCTAAAACATTCACATTATGAAACAAAATGTTATTAACCATACACGTAATTGTATAGTTGTGGAACCATTTTTTCAAAGATTACACGTATACTAGTCGACTGAAGCGCATTGCATAGACTCGTTGGACCTTTGCAGTCTCCGTTTTTTTTGCGATCGAAAGTAGTCATCGTACAGAACGCCAACGCCTTTCGCGGAGTAGTACATATATAATTCTGGAGACTTTTTTTCCCTTTAAACTGCTAAGTGACGAAATATCTAAGATGAGTTCTAGGTGAGGACAAACAAAAACAGCGGAGGTGCTCTAACGTCTTACACACGCCTTCACCTTGCACTTCCTGCACGTGTGCCACCCCTACTAAGGGCCATTCTGTTTGCACGTAATCTTGGTGGTCTTGTATGTCGCTGATGCTTTCCATCTCTCTCTAATTTTACATCCAAATTTTTTGGCAAAACTGTATAATAAGTTAGTTTGTTGCTAAGACCCATAGTACTTTTGGCAATCTCACTAGCATTGCCGCTACCCGTAATCTCTCTGTGGTCTAGAACCCATTATATTTGTATTCGTTCACCCTCAGCCGTTTTATCTACTGCTTTTCTACATCTAGGGAATGCTGAGTGAGATAATTTACTTAATTGTCGCCCGACTGTCGACATATGTTTATATTGATATATTGATATATTTCTCTTTATTATTTATATTTGTGTTTGTTTAATTTCCCATCGGAAGCTCTGATATTTTTCCATCAAGAATAAATCAAGTCAAATCAGTTCTTGGTACTCTGCTCTGTTGTGAACTGGATCCCAGTGAGGAAATTGGACAACAACCGAAACAAATGGAAGTTAGCAGCCGCAAGGTCGGGGCTGTGAGCTCGGTCAAGCAAAACTTCCCAACTTAACCGTTAATGTAACATGAAACCAAGTCTTGCTATGACTGAAAATATTTTCCGCGAATTCTTGGTGCTTTTTGACAATCGCTTGCTTCAATTTGATGAGTTATTTATTGTCAGTTGCGTTCCCAATTAAGGTTGTCACCCGGCTTAAGCACCGGTCACAATGTGATGCAACAACAACTTTATTTATTTAGCTTTCAAGTAGCATTTGTGAGACTTTTTTTCGGAGCTAGTTTTTTGGGCAGCAGTTATATGGCTTATACGTAGTTTGGTTGGCCAGTTTAAAATGAGCATATTTAAGGGGTTACATCTAGTTAGGAGCCCTAAAACATGACGTTATGCGTACATTTTTCACGTGGACATTTTTAGCTTTATTATTTTGAGCTTTTGTGCACATATTATGGTACCTTTGAAGAGTAGTTAGCAATTTTTTATTTATAAAAATAACTGTTTTTGAAGCTGCTACAGCAGATCTCCAGAGATTTCTCCCAAAAAAGGCGTTTGGCAGTGACCATTGTATTTCTGAAGTAAATCATCTGAAATGAAACAATCAAACAGATTCCTTTAAAGTATTGTATAAACTTGTGATTTATCGAAGGAATAGGCAAAAAAAATAATGAAATTTTTCTCCATAATTTTGGTCTTGAATCGCGCATTAAGAAATCTTTCAACGGTAATGGAAAACTTTCGATGTAGTACTACAAAATATTGTTCAGATGCTCGTGTAAATTTGAGACTTATCAATTCGGGCGTTCCCAAGAAATCTTGGTCGTTGACTTGAAAAACTTAGTTTTAAGAAAAACGTGGCGCCACACCGGCTTACCGCTTTCAAATGCTCTGACGCGTCGTTACAGGTATGCGTGTAACATCCAAAATAACAGCCGGATCGACTTGAAATTTTCAGAGTATTTACTTGAATACTTGTCCATTACATTTTTTTAAATCCTAACCAGATCTTACCCCTCAATCCGGAATAATGTTTGTAAATCGTGCAAATTCATTACCATAATAATGGTTCGGTTCTCAGGCTGAATCCAATTATCATTTAACATAATCGCCTAGCAGAGTCAGTGATTCGAGCAACCACGGATCGGTTTCGCACCACGATTGCTCTAGTGAATAATGCGCATCCTGAGATATGCCGAAATATGGCACGGCAGACGCTATTCCTGCAGTGAAGCAGATTATTGAGCTTGACGCGATTGGTGTCATGTCTATCAACTTTATCGTAGATTTTTCAGAAGGACCGCATTTTCCAGGCTTACAAAATACAATGTGAGCAAGACTTGAAACCGGATAACCATTAGTCGCTCGGCACGTTCCATATTGCTGACCTACGGACCCAATTGCTGCGAAATGTGGTTGAAAATTATTCAATTTGGCTGAAGTTTATGGCAGAGTATCTAGTTGCGACTGTTATTTCTGACACATAATTGCCAACCAACCCTTCTGGGCTATAACATTAAAATATATTTATGTAATTTATTTCTTCTCGTAATCCACAAGCCCTAAAAACAATTTTTTTAAAAAAAAAAAAAATGCTAAAACTCAGATTTTTTTCCTACCTTGGCATTTCTATGTGCGTTTAGTACACATCAGCTTAGCTCACTCGGACAGTATTTTTCGCAAATCCCTCACATAAACTTACATATTTCTTTTGTCCACTATCCTTTTGCAACAGTTTATGCTGATCCACTTCAGCGAACTACTTTAATACATTTTTCTCGCATATTTTGCTGCGTTTTCTGCTCGTGCGCTTATTCACTCATTCATTCCTTCGTTCCATTCCTGTGAAATCTCTTGCAAAGCGTGAATTAATTGCTTTTACTCTAAACTTTATGCAATCTAATTAGCCAGAGTAAGCATTCGAGGAATGTGAGTGGAAATTTATATATTTACTCGCTTGTAAGTATGTGTTAATGTCGCTGGTCATGTGCTGTAAATGCCTAACTAAGTGAGTTTTGTATTCAAATTAATTATGATTCGCCTTTAATGCACACAAATTGTGGTCAATTTGGGAAATTTTACATTTTAATGAATCTTCCGAAATATGAGCAGATTTTGCATCAAAGATGATCAATAATGATGGATTGCCTACTAAGTGATAATTAATAATAATGCGGGGGAATATGATGGAACTATGATATTATGAAATAATTCACGCCACTTATTTGATGAGGAAATCGATAAAGTAAATAACAGGAATATTTTACAAAGATGAGTAGTTTTGCCTTCTTTATTTTAAATTGGCATCAACAATTTTTTTTTTTAATAATTTAACTCGAGGAGCATTTAGTTATGGCTCGCACTGTAGTAACCACAAAAAATGAATTTACGACGGTTCGTCGAAATAAAAAACACAACTTATTTTTCCCTTTCAATATATATTAAGTCAAATAAGAAGTCATCCATTATTTTTAAAGGTAATGTCATTTTGCCTGGATGATAGATATGCTGGACGAAAAAATGGGACCATAGATTTTTACAGGTTTGACTTGAGGCCAATGCTTGACCTGTCAAATTATTTCATATAAACCGGAACATATGGTAACCCCTTGGTGAGAGGTTCGGACTATAAAGTGGTTGCATATAAACCTCCAAGCCAAGCTCTCGGAGCTTCTAGCGAGTCACTATTGATGTGTCTGATCTGCCGTTGTACTGATGAAACACAATTATTCTCTTGATGGGCATAGCTGGGCGCTTTTAGGCGATTGTTTCCTTGAGACTGCTCAACTGCTGACAGTAAAAGTCTGAACAAAGAGTTTGGCCGTAGTCGATTCCTTGCATACTACAACTAAACCTGCTACCTATTAATCCTTACCATTTGCGCCGACTCATTGCCCTGATATATAACTTTGTTACTTCATACACGTATAGTCCTTAGAACTGTTAAGCTCATACATATTTAAGACGAGTTCTGGATAAGGCAGGAAAGAAGCAGAAAAGGTGCTGCAGCGTCTCACTCACGCCTTCTTTGCTGCACTTCCTCTTACGCAAGACTCGTATAAATCCAAGATAGTATTGGGTTGCACAAAAAGTAATTGCGTATTTTTCATATAGTCGGCGTTGACAAGTTTTTTCAACGGCTTGAGACTTTGTAATTGCATTCTTTCTTCTGTCAGTTATCAGCTGTTACTTTTAGCTTGCTTTAGTTAGGCGTCAATTTTAATATGGAGCCCACAAAGGAGCATTTTCGTCATATTTTACTTTATTATTTCCGTAAAGGAAAAAACGCGGAGCAGGTTGCTAAAAAGTTACGAGATGTGTATGGTGATGAAGCCTTAAAAGGAAGACAGTGTCAAAATTCGTTTCGCAAATTCCGTTCCGGAGATTTTTCACTTAAAGACGAGCCACGCTCAGGTCGGCCAAATGAAGTTGATGATGACCAAATCAAAGCATTAATCGAATTGGATCGTCATGTAACTGAGCGTGAGATAGGAGAGAAGTTAAATATACCAAAATCAACCGTTCATTATCACATAAAAAGTCTTGGACTGGTGGAAAAGCTTGATATTTGGGTACCACATGTATTGAAAGAAATTCATTTAACACACCGAATCAACGCTTGTTATATGCACCTTAAACGCAATGAATTCGATCCGTCTTTAAAACGAATCATAACTGGAGATGAAAAATGGATTGTTTACAACAACGTTAGTCGAAAACGATCATGGTCCAAGCATGGTGAACCAGCTCAAACCACTTCAAAGGCTGATATCCACCAAAAGAAGGTTATGCTGTCTGTTTGGTGGGATTGGAAGGGTGTCGTATATTTTGAGCTGCTTCCAAGGAACCAAACGATTAATTCGGATGTTTACTGTCAACAATTGGACAAATTGAATA